ACCCTAATGGTGGAGAACGAAATGGAAGCTCCACTGACTGGGATCCTTGGGAAGGACACAGCTACCTAAGGTCCAAGCACCTTCTCATGGCTAACCTGAGAACACCATGCAACCTCAGCCTGTGTTTGGGATGAGAGCAGTCACTAGCTCCAACAAGACCTACAGCTTCCAGCATAGTCACAGCTCAGGCTTTCATCCCTGAATTAACTATGTCTGTACCTACAACTGAGAGTACTTCCATTGCAATGAAAGTTCCAGTAACAGGAAAAACATATGCCAGAACAACCACGCTTGCAAAAACTAAAATAAAACCAGCAGTAGTGTTTAGATCCTTCAGCAGAAAAATACTCCCTTGCCCTTAAAAGTGAAGGCCCTGCTCTTATACTGCCTTAACTCCACAGCTCTAGACCTATGGGTATTTTAAGGCATTTCTTTAAGCCCACAATACAACCAACTCAGGGGATGCAAGAGAAAAAGTCTAGGAAAATAGGAAGCAATTGGAAATCAGGCAGAAATGAGAAAGACTGTCTTCTCCCTCTTATGCAGTGACAGGGAAAGGATTCTAACCTAGAAATGCAATGACAAATGATACAACACCTACAGGATCTCCCCATCTTTTGGTCACTTTTTCTTCCCATTTTGATCACTTTTGAGTCCAGTAGTTAATTTTATCCTGCTATGGCAGGCAGATGAAGCCTCCAAGATAAGTTTTTAACATTTCCATGAAAACAGGCAAAAGTTTTAGTGGAGGAAAATCTTAAGCAAGGAAGAGGTTGCAACGCAACTTCGTATTTATTAGAAAGGGAATCAACACGAGAGACCAACTTCAATGGACAAAGCTGCAGGAAATCAGGCTTTGCTAATTCAGTTATTCAGGAAACCATTTATTTAAAGCAACAACTCCATGTTTCTGCAAAAAGGGAAAATAGTCCTTCACCAGGCCTTTTTTCCTAACACATTGGAGTACACTACAATAGCCTACATCTCACCTCAAACAGCTAGTTTCACCTTCTATTACAATTAGCAACAGCAGTGGCAGAGGTGTGGAAATACCTGCAGCTAAATGTTCAGGTCAAACACACTAAACAAACCCCTGTCACCTAGGAAGACCATCTGCAGAACAAGAGATGGTATTTCTGGGAGCACCATGTGGAGCGAAGCCAGGAACAGCACCGGCACCATCCCTCAGCACTGTGGTGCATCACACTACACATACATCCTGCAGTGCTCCTGTGACCTCAGAGGACACAAATCTGGGTAAGAGTGACGCAACCACCCTTTTCACCATGCAATGAAAAGAGGAGACCATGGGGGACAGGACTGCAAGCCCCCTTCTCAATCTGCAGGTGCAAACAGGCAGCACCAGAGTAGCAGGCAGTCCTGGAGTGCACAGGCATCTCCCTCCTTTCCTCAGAGGTTATGAGTCACAGAATTCAAAAGATGAGCCAAGGCCAACCTTAAAAATATAACAGGAGTGTCTTTCCCCCCTTTTTTTTTCTTTTAAAAAAAACTCCATCAGAATTAGAATTATGGGTAGAAAATGAAAAGTTGCTATTCTAATTTGTGGCACATATTTACTATCTGATATGATTTCTAAGTGCAGAACACTATTAAGGACCTCTCACAAGAGTTAATGGACCTACAAAAAGAGCTTCATAAGCTTGAACAGCTACCAGTTCTAACTGGAAAATTCATCTACTTGAACAACCCAGCTACAAGATACCATCCACCCAAAATGAATGTTAATGATCTAAATTACATTTATTTAACTCTGGAAAAAAACATATTCATTGTAATAAAGATTTTCCACAACAGCTGCTTTCTTTAACCATGATCTCAACTTTATTCTCTTGAGAATCACTAGTGAAGAAAACCCAAATATAAAAATCCTGTTTCCTGTCAATTTAAGCAGAGTTTTTATGTAATCAAAAGCCTTGTGAAAGCCCAAGCCAAACTGTATTCTCACTGCATTCTAAAAATAGGTCTATCAATGAGATACAAGCAAAAGAAACGTTTAGCAAGCTTATTACAGCTCAGAAATCTAAATATCATAATTGTCTTCAAAGCACAATTGTACACTGCCCAATAAAAAACAACTGCAGAAATTAAAGTTTATAAATGGCCAAATTCCTTCAAAGAAACTTTGCAGCATCTACTTGGCAAGGATGCAAGTCACACAGTAATGTCCATTAAGATAATTTTAAATAATTTTGCAAATGCAAAGTACACTTCAGTCTGGCAGCTTGCCACTATATCCTGTAACAACAGGCATCTGGGCTGCAAAACCTGGATGCATTCATTCTGACAGGCACCATCAACTAGACATTTAGCAAGGTTTGACTCAAAAAAGTACCAATCACTCATCATCTACTTCACACCAGAGAAATTATTTGGAGTGAAGATTAATTGTCAAGTTAACTCACAATAGAATTTTGATATCAGCTACAGACAAATGGCAATTACACACGAATGACAATTCCACTTAAATAGCTCAGAAAGGCAATACCAAAGCTCTCAGTCAGCTCTAGGAAAGCAGATCCACAGACAGACGCATGCATAAGATACCAATAAGGCAAAAATACCACAAAAAAATCCTCATGCTACAGGACAACAAGCACATTAAACTACTATAATTTTGGAAAAAATCAGGGACCTAACATCAGAGTTGTTCTGTATAACTCTTGTAAAAGTTTCAGCTTTCCTCAAGCACTTAATCTCTCTTTCTAGACATAGGGTTAACTTCATCTTCAGGAAAACATTGAAGGAGAGGCCAAATTCCTTCTTGATTTTCCAGCTTGATTAACAGTACCCACAAAATGCCTGAGGAAGCTTGGATGAGACAGAATGAAGAATTTCTATCCCATTTGTTTATCTTGTGTATTAATCACGTTATACAAACATGCCCTCATCAAGGTTGGAATAAATCAAGTAAAAAAAGCAAAGACCATTTTTCATTTTAAAAATGTGACACTGCATGCTAATGAAACATGGTTTATGCTGTTTATTATCATAGCCTTTTAAAAGGTTATCCACGCTGTGTTTGCTGGTGTAACTCCAGCAATACATCCTATTTGGCATAGGTAAGTCTTATATCAGAAGTAGTATTTGAGCCAGCAGAATATATCTCCCCTGAGATTTCTGGCACTATGACTACATCCACCTTAGGGCTTTCGCTTCATCTTCAACAACACTAAGGAGTTCAGTTTATTTACAGACTCCAAAATGACGTATTGGTGTCAATGAAACACACTACTATCAGGGATTACCTGAGAGTGAAACACATTACTATCAGGGATTACTACACAGGGTAGGGACAGAGGCTTCAAGAATGTCTTAAAGGTTGGTCACACTAAAGCCATGCCATTCACTAAGCCTCACAACAGTTTCATCCTCTTGGTAATTTAAGTTAACTTCCCCAGGAGCCACACACACACACAAAAAAAAAAAAAAAAAAAAAAAAAAAAAAAAAGCACAATAGCACCATGAAAATGCAAAAAGCCACGAGTCACTGTAGTAGCAACACCTACTAACTGTACTTTGTTGAGCTGCTCCACAACTTGTTTCACACACTGCCAAAATGGTTATGAAGCAGCAGTCAGGGAGGCCCCTGCATTAAGAAGAGTATTAGCAAATACAGTCACTGCTGTCCCGCAGGTCCACAGGACTGTGTGGAGAGGCTCAGAGCAGCTCCCGGAGGGCAAGCAAGTGGATGCATGCTCAGCAATCCTCCAGCCCCTCTGGAGATTGAATGAACCTCAGACAAAAGACCAATCTCCCCCAGAACTTCCAGTTACAGGAAAGATGTAACATTTCTCCCAGGTGGTTCATAGAAGAGCAAGAGAATAATCAGAGTGTAAGGGTGGGCAGAGTGAGCAGAGGAAAAGAAATATCAATTGAATTAGGACCATCAGGTACTTAAACATGTAAAGCAATAAGAATAAGCTCACTGGCTAGTCTGCTGCAGACAGAAGCAATAATGGGTTTCTATTGCAGAAACAGAGATTTATGAAAATAAACCACAAAATAAAGTGTCTGGGGAAGATGTCTAACATCACACCAGAGAGACAACTATCAGGAACAAAAGTCCTTCAGTGTAATCAGGGAGATCTGGAAAGGGCCTCACTACTGCCTATCTCCTCGTCCTGATCCTTCATCTGTGGACTTGATTTAAATAGGAAAACAGGTGCACCATGGTCAGATGAGGAGTTCTGAATCCCCACCACATGGAACAGTGTAGGTCCCGCACCGCCCTCCATCACCACTTGCTCTCATCTCTCACTTCCTCTGCCAGCACCTGAATATGCCGAAACCTTCCAGAAGCCGAATTTAAAGGAGTTTGTGAAAGGGTCTGAGGACTGATAGGCAGCCAGGGGCTATGAGATTAGCTAAGTGCATTCCAATTCTTATACCATGTGGTATAAGAACTCCCCACCACCTGCAGCCAGTGGCTACTTCCCAACCGCCTCCCGCAGCAGCTTAAAGGATGTGGGAACTGCTCCTTGCCGCGCAGGGCTTTGGGAAGGCCTCTCCCCAAGTCAGCGCTCCCACCCCACGGCGCTGCCCGGCTGCGGGCGCCGGTGCGCGGAGCGGCTCCCGCCTCTCCGCACGCACCTCGGGACAGCCCGCGCCAGCCTGCCCCCCGAAACACCAGGGGAACCCACCCCGGAAAGCGGCTGAAACACCACTGTGGGCACTCCAGAGCTGGGCAGCCACCGCGGCTCGCTGCGAGGGCTGCTGCTCCTCCACCGCGCAGCCGGCCCGGAGCCGGCCGAGCCGCGGGAGCAGCGCAGGGGCGGCTACAGCCGGCCCCGGCCCCGCTCCCGGAGAGCGCCCGGCGCCCCGGGCCCGCCGGCCCCTCCCCGGGACCTCGCTCCCCGGGACCTCGCTCCGCGGGACCTCGCTCCCCGCCGCGGCCGCGGAGCCCCCGGGCGGGTCCCCCGCGGGAATCCCGGGAATGTCCGCCCGCACACCTGCCGCGCTGCCCGCGCCCCCGACCCTACCTGGCCGGCGCAGCAGCGGGCGGACATGCTGGCGGAGCGGGGCAACGCGGCTCCCCCGCCGCTCCCGCATGCAGGAACCCGCAGCGCCGGGAGGTGCTGGGCTGGGCAGGGCAGCCCGGGCGCCGCGGGCGGAGCGGCACCGCCTCTGCCCCGCTGCCGGCCCCGCCGCCCGGCTTCCGCTGTCGTCAGCCCGCCTGTGGGCTCGCTGCCGCGCCGCCGAGCGCGGCTCCCAGCGGGCCGGCCGCGGCAGGACGCTGCTGAGACCGCTGCTGCTAATGTGCTTACTGAAACACCTGGTTTTGAGTAGCTGGGATCTAATAAATTAAGTGATTAGGGCATGTAAACATGCGGATCTTACGAGGGCGGGCGTCGCATTGGAGCTGAACGCTGTGGTGCACCAAGCCCGGTGCGAGCTGCTTTGGCGCATCGCACGGCCGGCACACACGCCCGTTCCTGCGTGGAAAAGCCATGTTTGCTCCAAGGACAGCTGTAAGGTCGTGCTTTCCTAACAGGAGCTGAGACCTCTCCTCGATGTTTCCGAAATAATTTCTCCAGCCTCATTCGCTAAGAATCATGGGCAGTACTAGGCAGTAGCCAAGGATTTCTCAGCTTCCTATGTGATGGCAGGAACTTGCACAGCCAAATTCAGATATGACAGGCGTCACCATATCAGATGAGCGTGTCTTTACAAGCACACTGCTTGTAGATAAAGCCAGAGGTTGGTAGATAAGGAAATAGCGAGAGAACCCATTAATTTTAGAAAGCTTTACTATTTGATGCAGGTGGCTAATCAGCCAAGGTCATGCTAAACTCCAGAACTTCGTGAAGAAGTACAAAGACTTGATAGAAGCATGAATATTTCCTTCTCTGCCCAGCACAGACTTAAAACTTAATTTTAATGATCATGTGTGTTCTAAAGGAGGGCTACATGGAGGTGTGTTGTAGATGGATGGGGAAGTCCGTACTTTCACAGGACTCCTCTGTCTCCTTTGTGGACACTAACCTGTAGCAACAGGAATTTTCTGCACAGATAGGAATTACTACTATGGAAAGTAGAAATTAATGACTCTCTGGAAAGACCCTGGTCTTGACTGCTTTGTGTCCTTCTGCATGTGTGTGTGTGTGATTGCTGTAATATTTAATATAACTATTTTAAACTCTATTTCTAGTCCTAACTGCTCTTACTTCAGGAATTCAGTGCAACTAAAGCTATTATCCTGAATAGGGGTACATACGTGCAGATAATGTAGCAACACTTACCAAGGAAACTGGGATGGGTTGCAGGATGTAAAACCCCTTCCTCTTTCCTCATGTATGCAAACAAAGGGAGCTGATGCTTCAGGAAGTGGATCATATGATGACTCAGCATTACATAATTTGGTGTTGTACTAGGGACTGAAAAGATCAGTTACCATAGCGGTACAGTTAATAAAAACCAGATATGTACTTTTTTTTACTGGGGCTGGAGACTCAGCACACCTTCTTTGATTTGTAGCTCCTTTCCCCAGAAGCTGCAGAGATAGACTCGAGAATTGAGCAAGGATCAGCAAAGCAGCATGACCAGCCAACAGGCAGTGGAAAAACCACTGGTGTGTTTAACTTTGGAATACAGTCAGCTTCCCAAAGAATGTGGTTAAGACATGGGAACACAAGGATCACAGAATAGTGAAAACTCAGCAAAACTGCAATCATCTTCTATTTCTGTTCCAGACTTCTTATATAATTGCTAGAAGCTGTCTGGTCAGGCTTTGCTTAATTTCCACATCTGCAAAGTGAACTCAAAACATGAAGGACAATCTAAAAATGAAGCTGTCTTATAAAGAGAAACTGGTGAAGGTATGGGCATGGTGAAAGACTTTGAGGGGCTGTACCACACATCAGCATGTCTGTGATAGCAACAAGCATTCACTGCATGGGGAGCACCATTAATTCACTGCTCTGTGCAGATCTGTTAATGTCAGCCAGTGCTGTTATGAACAAACCCAGCCTCTGCACTGAAGAAAACAGCAGAGCTCTGTAATGGCTTTCCAATCAGTTAGAGCACCCTAGAGCTCTGGGATATGTGCCTTGGCTTTTTCAGTAAAAACTCATCACCAGAAAGGCTTGAACTTCCCTGCTGTGTTGCTGGCAAACATTACGCAGACTAATAGCAAAGCAGTGTGCAGATGTTATTACATGGAAAGAACTGTCATTCTCAAACTATCAGTGCATTTAGAATAAGGCTTATCCATCAAACATACATTCTAAAATCAGAGAAGGCTGATCTGATTTACTGGGTAGAAATCTTCAACCAGAAGTAATTCCTGCCTCAAAATCTTCCTTTTGGCAGGGGCCTTCTTTGAAGAGATGCTAATTCTGAATTAGGGCTTTCAAGTGACAGAAAGTTCACTGCTTTACTAGGGAAAAGCAACATGCCTTGGTCTAGCTTTGTATGGGGAAATTTATGCACACAGACTTACAGAGTTCTAGTAAGTCAGGAAGAAGGGAAGCATGGAGAGTTCCCATAGGACAAAGGGAAGCCAAGGAGTACCCATGAACTGACTTAAAACTCTGATCTCCATTCAGGTGAAAGAAGGAAGGAAAGCACTGGGTTAGAAGTTGTAACCATGTTCCATTCTCAGGAAGACCCCTGGTTAGGAGCCAGTTGTGCCCTGGGAGCAAACCACTCTGCTCACCAGAATGTGCACAGGTGGAGCTGCAGAACCTGAAGCATGTCACTTTTAGGCAGCCCACGGGATAGCCAACCAATTTTAGACATACTGGTGACCTCTGGCACATCATCTTTGCTCAGGTCACTGGGACAGGCGTTAGCATCCTCAGGTGCCAACCACAGTTTCACTTGCAGGTGTTGCACCTTTACACATATCTACTTTACTCCTGCCCCACTCATTGCTACATGGACTGTTGTTACAGAAGCAGAGGTTCTCATCTCTCCTCCTTCACTGTGAGAAGAATGCACTGCTTCTACAGAGAACTCAGAAGATACTTGTGGTGAAGCAGAAAGCTTTTTGGCATAGCACAGGGAAATCATAACTTACCAGGAATGCTCAGACTCTCTTCTTCCTCAGTATGAACCAGCTCAGTGTATTTTAGGATAAGAATATTAGGAGTTGCACTGTTCTCATCTTCTGAAATACAGCTACACAACTCAGAATGATGCTTTCATTGTTATGAAATTTCAATTTTTCTCAGTAATTAAACAGTTTTGGTTTGTGTCAATTGGTAAAATGAAGAGCACAAAATGTCTGCATCCAATGAGAAGGAGAAATACACCACTTGGCTGTTCTTCAGGTGAAATTAAATGTGGCAATTTTTTCCCAAATGTGTATGCAAGCAGAAAGAAAACAAAACCACATTGTTACATATTGTGGTCACTTCTGAAAATTTAGATTTGTATACCTGTTAAAACAAAAAAAGGCTTGAAATTGCTTTTTTTTAAAAAAATGTGAATTTTGCTTGAGCCTAGTAGTTAAGAAACCAGACAAAAACATGGTTATGCAAGGAAATGGCTATGCATGTGCACACACATGTTCTGGGAACCACAACAGATTCCCAACAGGAGTTTGATACAGCCAATGGCCTTACTGTTTCCTACAGTTATTTCCTGTGGAAAAGATAATCCAGTGTGCACAGGTGTGATCAGGCAGCAGAAGAAACTTATCACCTGTAGTTTTACTTGTGTGTCATTGCAAGACCATCTGTGTCATGCAGTTTAGGTGGCTAAATACCATAATAAAGTTGGAGCTTTCTCCATTTGTTCATAAGTGTGCATCAGCATCTGGATTTTAGACTGCATCTCCTCACATTCTTGTAAGTAGCCAAGGGTTTCCAGAAACCCTGTCCTTTGGACATCTTCCAAAAGCCAGCATACCCTAGTGTGAAAAATGCATATTATATGATTAGCTCTTCGCAAATATTAAAATTAATACTATATGTGTTATTTTGGAAAGTTATGCTGTATTAATCTCTTTTAAGTAGTGTGGTAAATATAGTTTTTAGGATATAGCATAATATTATAATAGAAACTGTGTGACATAAGATACTTTTTGTAACCAGCTCAAGGAATGGAAAAGATAATCAAGAAATTCTTCGCATTATCCTATCTGGATAGAGATAACAGCAACAAACACCAAGATCCCAAGAGAAGAATTATTGTCTCCTTATCAGGAAGGCTCAGACTTCGAGGAACCAAGCAGGTTGATTTATAAGATGCAGTGGGGGAGGCTGAAATTAAGCAGAAACACCCCAGTTTGAAAGGAATGTTTGAATCATGTATGAGATATATGAATATGCAATAGGCTATTGATTTTAAGGGGTAACCTTTTGTTAGCAAGGGGTGTTTTTTGGCAGAGTGCCAGGCACCCAGACATCCATAATTCTTTGCCTTTATTGTCTCTTATTGTCCTAATTTTTATTACTATATTCATTACTACTAAACTTCTAAAATTTTAACAAAAGTGAATGGTGTTTTTTACACCAGGAATCATGACAGGAGCAGCTGGAACAGCACAGTATGTCCAACAGCACAGTATGGACCTGAGAAAAAGAAAGCTGGATTATGCCACTACTTGTTACTGCTGTGGCTGGATAATCACCCTTATGACCGTGTGTGCAGGCTGAGGAGGCACAGCAAGCAACCACCACAGCAACCCAGGGATCTGCCAGTGCAAGGCAAGAGCAGCCAGCACTATAAATTCCTGAGGGGGAGTGATCACAGAGTCTGTCAGTGCACAAATGTAACTGCCCCTTTCAGAACAATGGGTTGGTCATAATGCTAAATAGTGATATCTTCCTCTGTGTCTTTATTAGTGTTTTGTAATTCACACAAAAAATATTTTCTGGCTGGTAGCAGTTATTGATTTCTAAAAAATTATCCATGCATTTAAGTATTCAAATTTGGTTAGATTCTGGTCAAATGAAACTTGCTGGGGTTGAAAGAAAGTATTGCATAGCATTTGAAGAGATTAGTTTTAAAAAGCAACAAGGCTGGTATTTCCAGGCAAAACTGCTTTAAAAAGCTTAGGTTTTGAGAATGATAGTTTAATAAACTGGTTGCTTAGTTGGTTTTCCACTCCAGTGTTAATTTAGAATGGATTAAGATCTGCATTGTCTATTAAGGAAATGCATCAATTACACCTTTCAGAGGAAGATAACTTTTGTAAGGGAAGCACAGAAGTGCAAACACAGGTTTGCACTGAATTCCCCAGTGTTGCATTTGCATGCTTTCCATTGCGCCTTTTTTAGCACAATGCCATGAAATGTCACTTACAAATGTTATTCTTTCTAAGCCCCCTGCCACTGGATGCAGTACAACATTTCCTTCCTACTCAGAATTTCATTACATGATGTTTTAGATTTTCAATCACAACTAATACCTTTACCTTAGAAACAGGTGACATGGACATTTAACTTAGGTGATGCTGAGGA